TATACCTATTGAAGGACATTTTACTTTTTGCAGGTTTTAATAATGATGAGTAAAACTGCTTTAAACATCCTTCTGCAGGCTTTGTGTGAATATAAATGTTCAATTACTTTAGATAAATATCAAGGAATGTGATTGCTAAATTTTATGGTAAGAGTAGGTTTAGTTTTATGAGAAACCACCAAAATGTGTTCCAAAACCTCTGGAACATTTTGCACCCACCGGCAGTGAAAGAGTGCCTGCTGCTCCACATCTTCACTAGCATTTGGTTTGTAAGTGTCCTGCATTAGGGCCATTTTAGTAGATACATAAAGGTATTTTGTTGTCATTTTAATTTACCCTTTCCTGATGACACAGAATGTGAAATAACTTTTCATATGCTTATTTGCCATCAATATATTCTTTTTGTGGAGGCCTCTGCTAAAATCTTCAGCCGATTTTTTTTCATTTGGTGGCTTGTTTTCTTATTGTTGAGTCTTTGAAGTTCTTTTTATATTTTAGATAATAGCTCTTTATCAGATGTACCTTTAGCATTTTCTCCCTATGCTTGTCTATGGCTCTTCTTTTTAGTCTCTTTATCCAATAGTATTTTTAATATAATTATGCCCCATGTTGTGCTTGAAATACACTTATACTAAAAAGAATTGTTTATTGATTTGCAAATATTGTACCATCCTTGCCTCCCTGAGATGAATCCCACTTGATCATGGCATATGCTTTTAATGTATTGCTGGGTACAATTTGCCCATATTTTGTTGAGGATAGTAGTGTCTACGTTCATCAGCAATACTGGCCTGTAGTTTTCTTCCTTTGTTGTGTCTTTATCTGGTTTTGAGATTAGGATGATGCTGGCCTCATAAAAAGAATTTGGGAGTCTTCCCTCTTCTTGGATTTTTTGAGTTAGTTTGAGAAGGATAGGAGTAACTCTTCCTTAAGTGTTGTGTAAAATTCTCTGGTAAAAATGTCTGATCCAAGGCTTTTGTGTGCCCAGAGGGTTTTTTTTATTGCTTCAGTTTCACTAGCTGTTATTGATCTTTTTAGGCTTTCTGCTTCTTCTCGATTCAACTTTGGAAGATTGTATTTTTCTAGAAGTTCGTCCATATCACCCAAGGTTTTCAAACTTCTTAGCATTCAGTTGTTCATAGTAGTTTCTTAAAATCCTTTGTATTTCTTTGGTATCAGTTGTAATTCCTCCTTTTTCATTTCTGATTTTATTTATCTGGATCCTCTCCCTTTTTTCCTTGATGAGTCTGGTTAAAGGAGTGTCAATTTTATTTATCTTTTCAAAGAACGAGCTCCTGGATTTATTAATCCTTTGATTTGTTATTTTAGTCTCTATATCATTTAATTCTCCTCTGATCTTGATTTTTTCCTTCCTCGTAGCTCTCTCTGGGCTTTATGGCTGTTCCTCCAGTTCTTGTAGATGTAGGGTTAGCTTGTTTATTTGAAATGTTTCTATATTTTTAGGTAGGCCTGTATCTCTATGAACTTCCTTCTCAGGACTGCCTTTGATGTTTTCCATAGGTTTTAGACTGTTCTGTGTTCATTTTCATTTCTTTTTCAGAAACTTTTTATTTCTTTCTTGATTTCATTATTAATCATTCATTGTTCAATAGCACGCTACTCCATCTCCATGAGTTTCAATGTTTTTGAGTTTTTCCTTAAGGTTCATTTCTAGTTTTAAGCCCTTGTGGTCCAAGAAAATGCTTGATATTTCAATTTTCCTGAACTTGTTGAGGCTGGTATTGTGTCCTATCATATGGTCTATCTTTGAAAATGTTCTATGTGAATTTGAAAAAAAAATGTATTATTTTGCTTATTCAGGATGAAAGGTTTTATATATATATATATATTAGTTAAGTCCATTTGATCTAATGTGTCATTCAGTTCCACAATATCCTTGTTGATATTTTGTTTGGAAGATCTATCCATTGTTGACAGTCAGGTGTTAAAGTCCCCTACTATAATTGTGTTGCTGTCAATATCTTTCTTGAAGTCCTCCAAGATTTTCCTTATATATTTGGGTACTCCTATGTTGGGTGCATATATGTTTACAATATTTGTGTCTTCTTCATGGATTCTTCCCTTGAGTATTATGAAGTGTCCTTCTGTGTCTCTTTTAATGGCCATTTTCTTGAAGTCTATTTTGTGTGATATAAGTATTGCTACCCTGGCTTTTTTTTTCTGTTTGTTTGCATGGAATATTTTTTTCCAATTGATCACTTTCAGTCTGTGTAGGTCTTTTGTTCTGAGGTGGGCCTCTTATAAGCAGCATATATGCAGGTCATGTTTTCTTATCCATTCAACTAACTACCGTATGGCTCTTTATTGGAGCATTTAATCCATTTACATTTATGATTATCAGAAATAGGTACTTATTCATTGCTATTTTATCAGCTTTGTACCTGTGTTCTTTCTCTCACATCACATAAACAAAAGGAAAGACAGAAATCACGTGATCATAAAAATAAATGCAGAAAAAGCATCTGATAAGGTACGGTACTCATTTATGATAAAAACACTCAGCAGCATATTAGTAGAGGGAGAATACCTCAACGTAATAAAGGCCATATATGAAAAACCTAACAACAACATCATACTTAATGGGAAAAAACTAAAAGCTTTCCCACTAAGATCAGGAACAAAACACTTTCACCACATCTATTCAATATAGTATTGGAAGTCCTAGCCAAAGCAATCAGACAAGAAAAAGAAATAAAAAGCATCCAAACTGGAAAGGAGGAAGCAAAACTGTCTGTCATCATATGCAGATAACATGATAGTATACATAGAAAATTCTATAGTCTCCACCAAAAAATTACCTGACCTAATAAGTGAATTCAGCAAAACAGCAAGATACAAAATCAACATTCAGAAATTGAAGGCATTTTTCTACACCAACAATGAAATATCAGAAACAGAAATCAGGGGGAAAAAATCTCATTTGATATAACAATAAGAAAAATAAAGTACCTAGGAATAAACCTAACCAAGGAAGTAAAAATCTTTTACACAGAAAACTACACAACAGTAAAGAAAGAAATTAAGGAAGACACAAATAAATAGAAGCATATACCGTGTTCATGAATTAGAAGAACTAACATCACTGAAATGCCCATACTACTCAAAGCCACTTATAGATTCAACACAATCCTTATTAAAATACCAATGACATTTTTCACTGATAGGACAAACATTTTAAAGATTTATATGGAACCATAAATGACCCTGAATAGCCACAACAATTTTGAGAAAGAAGAGCAAAGAAGGAGAGATCACAATGCCTGACAAAAAACAAGATTACAAGGCCACTGTAATCAAAATAGTCTGGTACTGGCATAAGAACTAACACATAGATTAATGGAACAGAATAAACCATATCAATATGGTGAGTTAATATTGAACAAAGGGGGCAAGAACATAAAAATGGAGAAAAAATGGCCTCTTTGATAAATGATGATTGAGACCTGGACAAATCCATGCAAAAACCAATGAAACTAGATAACCAACATACACAAAAATACATTCAAGATGGATAAAAAACATAAATATTAGGTGTGACACAATAAAAGTCCTAGATAAGAACATAGGAAAATCTCAGGCATTCCACACAGCAATATTTTTTACCAACATGTCCCCTAGAGCGAGGGACATAAAAAAAATAACCAAACGGGACTTCATCAAAACAAAAACTTCTGCATGGCTAAAGAAAACATCAGCAAAAGGAAAAGGGAACCAACTGTATGCGAAAATATATTTGCTAATGATGCCATGGACAATGGCTTGATTTCAAAAATATATAAAGAGCTCACACAACTCCTCTCCAGGATGACAACCAACCAATTAAAAAATGGACAAAAGATCTGAACAGACAATTCTCTAAGGAGGAGATACAGAGGGCCCAGAGACATATGAAAGGATGTGCAGGACTACTAGCTATCAGAGAGATGCAAATTAAGGGCACAATGAAATACCACATGACACCAGTCAGAGTGGCCATCATAAACAAAGCAACAAAGCAACAAAGAACTGCTGGTGAGGTTGTGGAGGAAAGGGAACCCTGGTACACTGGTGGGAATGATAACTGGTGCAATCACTATGGAAAACAGTATGGAATTTCCTCAAAAAAACTAAAAGTGGAACTGTCTTTTCATCTGGCAATTCCGCCGCTGGGATTTAACCCTAAGATAGCTGAAACACCAGTTCAAAAGAACCTATGCACCCCAAAACTCATAGCAGCACAATTTACAATAGCCAAGTGCTAGAAGCAACCTAAGTGCCCATTGGTAAATGAATGGATCAAAAAACTACGGTACATTTATACAATGCAATACTACACAGCAGAAGGAGCTCCCACTCTTTGTGACAGCATGGATGGAACTGGAGAGCATTATACTAAGTGAAATAACCCAGGTGGTAAAAGACAAATACCATATGATCTCACATATAAGTGAAACCTAATCAATGAAACAAACAAGCAAGCAAAATATAAGAGACATGGAAATAAAGGACAAACTGACAATAACTAGAAGGGAAGGGGACAGGAAATAACAGGGGGGAAAAAGGGAAAGATCATCAATGAACAAGTATAAAGGACCTATGGACAAAGCCAAATGAGGAATAGGATGGAGGGTGGGAGGTGGGGGTGGGTGGAATGGGAGAAAGTGGTGGTGGGAAAAGAGACAACTGTACCTGAACAACAATAAAAAAAAGGAATGATTTGATGTTTACCTAAAATTCCATCAGACTGAATATTCTTTATTTTATCTGGCAAACCTAGTTCTCAGACATAAAACCAAAATGGAATTAAATTAGAAATCAATATAAAGTAGGTTTTAAAATCTAAATAACACAACTTTATATAATCAACAGCTGAAAGATAAAAATTGAAAAGCATTTACAATTAATTAAAATAAAACACAACATACAAATAACCAGTGTTCCTCATAAACACATATGTAATAGTTCTAAATAAAGATTTTCCTAATCATATCCAACAATGTATGCTCACTCTGGCAGCACATATACTAAAACTGGAATAATACAGAGAAGATTAGCATGGCCCCTACACAAGAAGAACATGCAAACTTATGAAGTATTCCATATTATTACAAGAAATGTTAAAAGGACTTCTCTAAGAAGAATTTAAAAAGGAGTATAAGTGTAAATAATAAAATGGCATTGTGTATACTAGGTACCCATTAATAATAACTTTAAATATAAGTAGATTAAATGCTTCAGCTAAAAGATATACAGTAGCTGAATGGATAAGAAAATAAAACCATATATATGTTGTCTATAAGAGACCCACTTCAGATCAAAAAGCACACATAAACTTCAAGTACATTTATAGGAAAAAGATATTTAATGCAATGGAAATGAAGAAAAGCTGGGGTAGAAATATTTGTATCAGACAAAGTAGAATTTAGAACAAAGGCTATATTAACAGATGAAGAAGAATATTACATCATTATAAAGGGATCAATCCAACAAGAGAATATAACTTTTGGAAATATTTATGCAACCAACACAGGAGCACCTAAATAGACAGAGTAAATTTTGTTAGACAGAGAGGGAGAAATTGACAGCAATACAGTAATAGTAGGCAACTTTAACTCCCCATCGACATCAATAGTTAGATCTTCTAGACAGAAAATCAACAAGGAACCAAGCAGCCTTAAATGGCACATTAGACCAGATGGATTTAATTTGAGAACATTTCATCCCAGAGCAGCAGAATACACATTCTTTTCAAGTGCACATGAAACATATTTCAAGATGGGCCACACATTAGGCTGCAAAATAAGTCCAAATAAATTTAAGAAGATTGAAATAATATTAAGCATCCTCTCCAACCACTATGGTGTGAAACTAGAAATAAATTACAAGGAAAAAACTGAAAAACAAACAACTAAAGGCTAAACATGTTACCAAACAATGAATTGGTTAAAATGAGACCAAAGAAAAAATCAAGACATACCTTGAGACAAATAAAAATGAAAACCCATTGACTCAAAGTCTATGGAACACAGCAAAAGAAGTACTAAGTGGAAAATTCATAACATTACATGCCTACCTCAAGAAACAAGAAAAATCTCAAATAAATGATGTAACCTTACACTTAAAGGAATTAGAAGAAAGAACAACGAACAAAGCCCAAAGTGAGTACAAGAAGAAAATAATACAAGTCAGAGAAGAAATAAATGAAATAGAGCCTAAAAAAATAATAAAAAACCAATTAAAACAAAAACTGGTTTGTTGAAAAATAAACAAATTAATAAACATTTAACTAGACTAATAAAGAAAAAATTAGAGTGCTTAAATAAATTAAATTATAAATGAAAGAGAATTAGTGACAATTGACACCACGTAAATACAAATGATTATTAAAAATACTCCAAACAATTATATACCAATAAGTTGGACAATCTGGAGGAAATTATAAATTCCAAGAAACATTCAATCTTCTAAGTCTTAATCAAGAGGAAACAGAAACTCTAAACAGATGTCTAAAGGACAATTAAAAATAAAAATAAATAAACAATAAAATAATAGGTTTTACTGCAAAAAATTTAAACAGATCTACTGCTACCTGAAAATTCAAATTAGTAATTTAAAAAACTCCCAACAAACAAAAGTCCTGGATTACATGGCTTTACAGATAAATTTTACCAAACATAAAAAAAAATTAATGCCTATCATTCTCAAATTATTTCAAAAAAATTTAAGAAGAGGGGAGATTTTCAAGCTCATTTCAGAAGGTCAGCATTATCATGATTTCAAAGCCAGACAAAGACATCATTAAAAAAAAGTATTCCTGATGAACACAGATTCAAAATTCTTTAATGTAGTACAGGAATTAGCAAAACAATTCACCAGAACACTAAGATCATAAAATCAATTAATATAATATACCATGTAAATAAAAGATAAAATTCAAATGAACATATCAATAGATACAGAAGAAAACATTTGGCAAAATGCAGTAACCAGTTATGATACTCTCAGCAAAGTGGGAATAGAGCAGAGATGTCAAACTCATTTTCACTGGAGGCCGCATCAGCCTTGTGGTTGCCTTCAAAGGGCAGAATGTAATTTTAGGACCATATAAATGTAATTACTCCTTAACTAGGGGCAAGGAGCTCAGCACTGCTGCTGGGTAGAAACAAGGTGCTGGGAGGGATAAAACAAGATGGAGGGCCAGATTCTGCCTGCGGACCTTGTGTTTGCCACCTGTGGAATAGAGGAAACATACCTCAACATAATAAAGGCCATATATGGTAAACCCACAGCTAACATTATACTCAGTGGGTAAAAGCTAAAAATATTTTCCTTAAGAGCAGACACAAAACAAGAATGCTTACTTCCACCATTTTTATTCAACATAGTATTGTAACTTCTAGCTACAACAATTATATAAGTAAAAGAAACAAAGGCATCAAAATTGGAGAAGGAGAATAAAACTGTCAATATTTGCAAATGACACGATACCTAATAAAATTCTACCAAAGAAGTACTAGAACTGATAAATAAACTCAGTAAAGTAGCAAAATGCAAAAGTGATATTCAGAAGTCAATTGCATGTTTATACACAAAAATAAATTATCAGAAAGAGAAATTAAGAAAACAACCCCATTACAATTGCATAAAAAATACCTAAGAATAAATTTAACCAAAGAAGCCAAAGATCTATATCCAAGAGAGTATAAAACACTGAAGAATGAAACTAAAGAAGATACAAATAAATGAAAGAATATACCATGCTTGTGGAATGGAAGAATTAATGTAATTAAAATGTGCATTCTCCCAAAGCAACCTATAGATTCAATGCAATTCCTATCAAAATAACCATGGCATTTTCATAGAATTAGAAAAAATAATCAAAAATTTATACGGAATCATAAAAAATACTAAATATTCATAGCAATGTTGAGAAAGAAGAACAGAGTTGCAGGTATTATGATGATATAAAACTATACTATGAGGCTTTAGTAATCAAAACAGCATGACACTATTTAATAAAAATACCCACATAGATCAACGGAACACAATAGAGATCCCAGAAATAAACCCATACTTATGTGGACAATTAATATATAATAAAGGCAAGAACATACAATGAAGTAAAGAGTATATTCAATAAATGGTATTAGGAAAATTGGAAAGGTACAAAAAAATAAAAGCAGACCACTTTCTTATACCATATGCAAAGATAAACTCAAAACTGATTAAAGACTTAAATGTAAATCTCAAAACCATAAACATTTTAGAAGAAAACATAGACAGTAAACTCTTCGACATGTCACTTAGTAATATTTTTTCTGATATATCCCCTCAGGCAAGGGAAATAAAAGAGACAATAAACAAATGGGACTATATCAAACTAAAATGTTTTGGCAGCAAAGTATTAACAAAACAAAAAGATAACTTACCAAATAGGGAAAAAGATTCACCAATGATACATCTGTGAAGGAGTGAAGGAATTAATATTTAAAATTTATAAAGAACTCATGCAACTCAACACCAAAAAAACCCCTATACAATCCAATTATAAATGGCAAAAGACCTGAATAAACACTCTTCTAAGGAAGACATTCAGATGGTCAATAGACATATGAAAAAATTCTTACTGTCACTAATCATCAGAGAATGCAAATTAAAACCACATGAGATATTACCACATATGTATCAGAATATCTATCTTCAATAAATCAACAAACAAGTATTGGTGAGGATGTGGAAAAAAGAGAACCCTCATTTATTGTTGGTGGAATTGCAAACTGATGCAGCCACTATTAGGAAAGACAGTGGAGGGACATCAAACAATTAAAACTAGAAATACCTTATGACTTAGAAATTCCACTTTGAGGTTAATATTTAAAAAATCCAAAACACTAATTCAAAAAGATACATGCACTCCTATGTTCATTTCAGTGTTATTTATAGTAGCCAAGATATGTCAGCAACTCTAGTGCCCATTTTAGATGATTGGATAAGAAAGAAATTATTCATGTGTGCAATGGAATATTACTTGGCCATAAAAAAGAACAAAATCTTGCCCTGATGGATGTAGCTCAGTTGGTTGAGCATCTTTCACAAAGCAAAAGGTTGCGTTTCAAGTTGTGGTCAGGGCACATGCCTGGGTTGTAGGGTCGTAGTCTCCGGTCCCCAGTCCCTGGTCAGAGTGCACACAAGAAGCAGCAGATCAATGTTTCTCTCTCACATCTATGTTTCTATACCTCTCTTCCTCCCTCCTTTCCCATCTCTCTAAAATAAATAAACAAAAAATATTTGTAAAAATCTTACCATTTTTAACATCATAGATGGACTTAGAGGGTAATATACTAAGTGAAATAAGTAATACAGATAAAGAAAAGCACCATATAATTTTACTTATGTGAGTAAGGTAGAGAACAAAATAAACACTTTTAAACACTTTTTAAACACATAAACACTTTTTAAACTTAAAAAGTTAAAGCCATCTCAGGTAGGGCACAAGATTAAAAATGCTAGTCTTAGTAAGCAACTATTCTTTCTTATATACAATCTTCTTCAATTTTTTTTAACATGCTTCTGAACACTGCATGGGGAGAAAACAGGCGAGGCAGGTTTTCATTATCTTAATGCTTCATTTTGCTGCTGCTTCTGTTAAGTTTTCCTAAATTTTGAAAAGGATCAAGTACACTACATAACTGTCTTGCAACCTGTCAAGGCCAGGCAGGTTTCCTTGAGATCTGGGCAGATGGAAGGAAAGTCAGGGAGCCTGGGGATGCTTGACATGCCTTTATTCAAGGGTGAGCGATCCATGCATGCTGCAAGCTGTGTATCCCCTGCATGTCCCTGCATGTCACTTGTCCCCAGCCTGGTACCCAGCAGGGAGCCCCTACCCCCTTAAATACTAGAACACAGACAATGCCAGCAGGATGCCAACAGATAGTATGCAACAGAGCTTCACACTACACCAGCAAGCCCACTCAAGGCTATTGGAATAGTTTGTCAGACCCAGTGTCAAGGCTATGGGAACACTAATTATCAGGCCCTTTCTCAAGGTTATGGGAAACTGCTTCCCTTAGTTGCCCAGACACCTGGGTGAGAAAACCAGACTGCCTC